GATTTACCAGATAAAACTACAAAATATTTATTTAATAAAGCTGAAAATTTTATCTCTAATTTATAAATGGGAGAAGATGATGATTTAATATCAGAAATGGATGAATTAGAAAGAGATGGACAAAATGAATTGAATAAATCACTAAAAGCTAAAAGAAAGAGAAGAAAATATAAAAATACAAATAAAGAACAACGTAATTTTATTTTAGGAATCTTAATATTTATTCTAATAGCTTAAGTATATTTTGCATTAAATTATCTATTGAGTAAAACATTTTTGACAGACTTAAATTAAATGATACCTGAAATTAATGCTACTGCTAGAGCTGAAAGTTTCTATAGATTTGTAGATATAAGTGAAAGATCTTTATTTTTAGATCGTAATCAAACAATCATGAATTAAGATGCATATGAAATTGTCAAAAATAATCTAAATGGTTTATATAGCTTAGATTCATCTATTCATTAAGAACATGCATTAAATGTTGAAATCACTAGTTAAATATACTTAGATTCTTTTAAATAAATTTTCATGGAATAACCATGTACAATAATATCAAATTATTTAAATGAAATTACTGAATAAGAATGTCAAGTATTTGCTGATGGAGCAATTTATTAAGGAATGGCTGTTGGGATTGCAAGATATTTTGAGAATCTTAGATACATAATAACAATCTATGATTAATTTTGGGGAAATCCTAATGTAAATTTTACTACATTAGCACGAGGCTTTGGAAAATTTAAGAATATAACCAAAGACAATGACAATGTAAGAAATTTCATCTTAAATCTAAATAACTTTAATTAAACAAAAGAATCTCGTGAAATTTAAGATAATTACAATAGAGGAGCATTTAGATTTCTTGTTTCTTCTATGATTGAAGGAATTAGATAAGATATGGAAAGTCATAAAACTTAAATACTTGGACTCTTTATTGTTTTTGAAGGATTACTTTTAATGGCATACTTTCTTATGTGGTTGCCATTAGTAGCCAAGTTAACCAAAGATATATGGAGAACTAGATCAATGATTCTAATGATTCCTCTTGGTGTCATTTAAAGTATTAAATCTATAAAGACATTTATCAAAATGAACATACAAATCAATGATGTTGATGTTTGATTTCTTATCTATATCAATTATCAATTAATTAAATTAAATGGAGGTAAAATCCAATTATGGATCGACCAAAAACTCACCTGAGAATGATAATATCTTAGTACGTATACAGACAGAACTTAAACTAATCATTTTCAGAGTTTTCTTTCTGATTTTAAAAGATGAAGATTAATCAATAGCAATTCAAATCTTTCTGTAAGTCATCTCCTTTTTATAATATCTCACATTTATCTTTCATCGTCAACTATATTTAGTATGGAAGAACTAGAAAGTATCCTATGAATTATATAAATTCTTTGGATATTTCATGCTAACTCCATATTTTGAAATGTTAAACTTTTCTAGCTTTGCATCAATGATGTATGCATTAGTAGGTATTATCCTTATGTCAATTATGATATTATTATTAATAGGATATACAAATATCACTAAAATCAACTCTTCATATACTTGGCCAGTTTATATCCTCAAATTGATTTTCATCTTATTTACTACTATACTCTATTTACCAATACTTGATCTTTTTTTTTAAATGCTTAATTGCTACTATGATGATAAAAATCAACTCATTAATGTAGTATTTAATTCCATATGTTGGTAAGGTTCTCATGTTATTCATGGTATTGTAGCTATACTAGGGATAATTCTTTTTATTGTCATTACAATGACCTTTAATTTGCTTTACTTTGAGCCAAAATATAATCACAAAGATCAATTATCCAAGACTTCTGGAAGAGCAAAAACTTTTAAATTTTTTTACTTTCTTATATTAGAAATCTCTTTTGTATTAATTGATTTAAATTAATTTGATTATGTTGCAATCTATATAATTTTAATAGGAGCATTTGTTACTTTCTATAAATTACATATAGAACAACCATTTAATAATGTTCCTATCCAGAAAATCTCATCTATATATGCAGCCTTAATGTTATGGAGTGCTTTATTAATGTGTTTTTCTCATTATTTGGAAGACATCATATTTCATGGCACTATCTATGCTTGGTTAATTGGTATACCTCTTATTGGATTTGCTATATATAAAAAAGAAAGATATCTTTATGATCTATTATTAATGAATATCAATAAAACAGAGGATCCAAATCAAATCATACTCTTAACTAATTATATCTAAAAATTATTATCAAGATATTCAACTAATTAACATTTTCACATAATGTTAGATGCACTTATTGAAGTACATAAAAATACTTGTTAAAAAGAAGACTGTGTTTTTAGGATAAAAAAACAATTAAATTAAAGATTGGTAAAATTAAAGGATGAAAATATATCTCATAGGGATTATTAAATACATTTACTTCTTGGAGAGATATATCAAGGATATATTAGAAGACATTAACATAATGTGAAATTAAGAATTAATTATGCTTTTTATTTACTTGATTTTTTAAAATAAAAATAATAATCCTTAAATGAATTGAATTAAATTGAATTACTATCTCCTAGTTTCGATAATGAATTTATTATTTTTAGATATAAAAAGATAATTGAAGATGAAATTAATATTTCATAAAATGAAACTATTAGTGGTAATTTAGATGTTGCAACAGAATTAACATTTTAAAATAATATGAGATAATTTTAAAATAAAATAGAGAGAGCAACATTAATGCATATGGATTTTTGGTCATAATTATAAGAAGATTAACCTGATTTAGGTAAAATGAATGAAATTGGATCAAAAATTAATTAAGCTATTATTTAAGTTGAAGAATTATGGAATAAAATGTAAAAAATGACTTAAAATTTACCTAAAGCTATGAGATTATATGCTAAATTTATTATTGAAGTACTTTAAGATAAAGAATATGGAGAA